TCAGCAGGAGCAGGAAAAAGAGACTAAGGGTAATAAGTGGGGGGAGCACCTAAAAGAACTAAGTTTGGGGGTGCAAACCGCAACACATCACTGAGTATGTTGGCCAAACCGACGATCTCGCGATACATAAGACTCTAGCGCTTGACGAAAATGTTGCTCATTGAAGTCCGGCCACAACACCGGAGTGAAATACAGTTCTGTGTACGCCAGCTGCCACAGCAAAAAATTGGATAACCGGCACTCCCCGCTCGTTCTTATCAGTAAATCAGGGTCTCTCAGCTCCGTATCCCATTCCCCAGCCCTCAGTGGCATGCCTAAGTGCTTGGCTATGGCCGCTTCATCAATCTCGTAGGGTTCCATTTTGCCGGCAGCAACAGCTTCTGCGAGATGGCGGCAGGCGAAGACGATATCCTGCCGCCCACCATAGCTCAATGCAATTGTCAGCAGCAGGCCAGCATTCTGCGATGTTCGCGCCTCCGCGTTGCTGATGACCTCCCGCAATGAGGGTGGAAGAATCGCAACATTGCCAATGAATCGCACGCGCACATTCTCTCTGTGACAAAGTACAATGAGGGACAAAAAGGAGCCGCAAGATCAAACGATGAGAGACGGAGAGAGAAGGAGAACCAAATTTCAGGACGCAGCCGCACAGAACAGCATACGAGAAGGAAGCGTTCCAACTACAAACATTTGGTCGGGCTTTGCAGCGGTGATCTATTTTCCCCGGCCTATAGCCGGGGCTATTTGACTTAGTGCCTGTTCGGCCTGTGGGACCAGGCCGTCGGCCTGATCGCACAGGCTGGATGCTCATTTCGTACGGTACTGCGGTTGGTGCCGTGTCAGTCCAGTCCAGTCAGTCCACTGGGGATATATATACCCAGCTGGAGTCTGTACTTCGGGTCGTTCTACGCTGGGTTGTTTTGAAGTATAGTCCAGCTTGAGTCACTCGGTGGTGATGTGTGTCTTCTTCCACCATGTCCATCTCCACCTTCCTCCTCCTTCCCCTTCTCCACGGTGCGGGATCTGCCACCGACGAAGTCCCAGTTATAGGCTGGAAAATCAGACCCCTTACGCCAGCAGACAGCAGAAGAAAGCGGCATGGCAGGATTTTTAATCCAATAGAGCAGCTGAAAAAAAGTTGAGGTCTCCTATAACCAAGAGGGTCACCCTGTGATAGAGAAGCTTTAACATGAAACCACCAGTACATCTGAGCCTCTTTTCGCCGAGGCAAATTTTTCCTGTGCGCCAAGCTTCGCCAAACGCCAGCGCGGCAACTTTTTTCTTTCCTTTTGGCTGGTGCCAGCAGCCATTTTGGTCCAGCAGCACTGTTCACCCGAAATCTGCGGATTGGCTCTTTTAAATTGCGATTCGCAAGTCTGCACCTGGGGGTGCTGGCGGCTTACGACGAAGGTGTTTTGTCAGCTGCGGCGAGTTCCAGTATCCAGCCGCGCACAAAAAAAATCTAATATAGAATACAGGAAAAGTTTTCCGCCTTGAGGCACCGCTGTCACTTTGCCGCTTGTTCGAAAGCCCAGGGCTGCCACCTGCAGACACGGCAGAAAAGAACGACAGAGCGGGATTTTTTTTTTTTTTTTTTTTTTTTTTTTTTTTTAACAGCAGAACTTTCAATCCAACAAAGCAGCTGACAGAAGTGGAGGCCTCCCATAATCCTCCTGTCATAGTGACGCCGTGACGACTGTGACGGTCTAAAGACAAAGGGAGGTATTCTGAACTATTCTCTTAGCTTTTAGAGGAGGGTGACCAACCAAGCATTGCCTGCTCGGTAACTCAAAGTTACCTGTCCTTAGCACATTCCAATCTGCTCGGTAACTCAAAGTTACCTGTCCTCAGCACATTCCAATCTGCTTGGTAACTCAAACTTACCTGTCCTCAGCACATTCCAATCTGCTTGGTAACTCAAAGTTACCTGTACTTTTGGACAAAAGAAAGAAAAAAAAACAAGGCTACATGTCCTGTTGTTGGCTCAAGCTTTGGCGCCCACTGCACGATTCATTCATTGCTTAATAACCGGGGACCAAAAGTTATCTATTCGTCTATTCTACTGAACTTACCAAGCATTGGATAACCTTTGGTTGGCTGAAGAGTTAGTGGAATGCGAACCGATGAAAAGGAGAGAGAAACAGACGAATGACAGGGAACGGAGCGACAGAACAACATTGGGACAGACAGGAGTAGGGAGAGCATGAGGAATTGAGACTGGATATATATTGGATGGGAGGGGAGAAGGTAGGGATGGGATAAATTCTCTTGAGGGGGGGGTTGTGCCAGCTTTGAATTCACTTGTTTCGTCTTAACCAGGTTTCACCAGGGTGGAAGTCAAAGCACATTCTATGTCTACTCTGTGCATTTGCCATCCGAAGTCGAGCATCACAAGCGCACTTGGGAAAAGAAAAGCCAACACGACAACATATTTACTTTCAACTTTACGTTAGGGGGAAAGAAAGGAAAAGCACCAGACCAGCATGCACAAGACGGATGCGTCCACATGGCACCATAGGATCGAAAGAAATGTCGCACATCGAAAGAAAAATTTGCACGCAGCATAATAGGATACGGGGAAGAAACCATTCCATGTGGCAGCATCATGGGATAAGGTGGGGGGCAGGGAGGGGGCCCGGAGGGGGTGCGAGGGCAGTAGGCGGGGGAGCGGGGGCAGCAGGGCGGCGGGCAGGAGTACAGAGGCTGTCTCTTATACACATCTAGATGTGTATAAGAGACAGCCCCTCTCCCCTCCCCCCCCACCGCACATGACTGTCACAAGTTTCTCTGCGGATTCGGCTCCTCTCAGCGAGCACACTCCAACCCCATCTTCAAAAAAAAAACACAAACAATTCCTGGGATGTTTTTTGGCTCGTCTGGTTTTGTCGGACGGACCCCCCCCGTTCGTCTGGCCCGGTCCGTCTGGACCGGACGTCGGCTTAACCCAGCTTATTTATTTATTTATTTGCTGACTCTTTGTCTGGTCTATTTTTGTCTGTTTCAGGGCGTCGATTCAGATTTTGCAGTGTGTCCGAAGACTCCGAACAGACCAGTGCCTGTTTGGACCAGGACCACGTTTGGAGCCTCTCAGAGGCCAGGTTCCTGACTAGGCCATTTCTAGGCCAGATTCGGAGTCATCCAGTAGTGGACTTCTCCTGCTGCATCAGCAAGAGAGCCTGGACGTCCCGTAGGAACCCAGGCAGACCGTTTGTGGCCCCGGAGCAGGACTTAGGCCTGCAATCTGGGCCAGCGATCGGACTTCAGATCCAACAGCCCAGACTGCAGATCGTGGGCATTGCAGCCAGGCCCAGCGCTATATCTAGCTGGGCCAGTCTAGTTCCTGAGCAGACAGGAGTTCTCACTCCTTGGGCGACTCCCTGTTGGAGCAGTGCGCAACATTCAGCGCTGCGTTAGCCTTAGAGGTAGAGGCAGAAGTTTAGGAGCTAGGAGAGGTGAGGGAGCGGCGGTGGCCATACCTGCGAGGTGCGGGCAGCTTACCTGGGCGCCATAGCTGGTTCCTTCACCAGCGACCTGCAGTACAGAGAGGCACGCCAACTCGTCAGTACGAGCCAGCAGTTACCTGCAGGTGAGGTCGAGGAGATCTTCCTCTTCTTCTTCCTGCTCCCGTCCTCCATATCCTCCTCCTCCTCCTCCTCCTCCTGAGAGAGAGAGAGAGAGAGAGAGAGAGAG